ACCTCCTCGTGTTGGCCTCCCGACAGCTCGTCGACGCCGATCAACCAGAGGGAGGCTCGGGGGAGATTCGGATCACCCTCCGGGCGGCCGCCGCGGCGGTAAGCACCTCGGAGTGAGACGCGGGTTGACCTTTGGCAGCGACGTGGATATAAATATTTAAGAAAAGAACATTTTCTCCCCACCAATTCATATATTAATTTATTCAATAACGCATTGAATAGTATAGAAATTTCAAACCGGAAATCCATGAAAACAGGTAGAGTCCAGTTCGTGGAGTGTGGAACAAAGGGGCACGCTTTCCGTGATGCTTTTTTTTTGGTTATCTACTTTTTACAAACATATATCATGAGTCCCTAAATCAATCACTCTATATATACATATATATATATACTCGATTTTATATTACCTAAAATCGAAACTTTTGCTTGTTATAGATCACTTTCTTCGAAAAAAATAACCCATTCTTGCCTGCAGAACTCGGGAAAAAGTTTCTTTTACGCTGCACTACAAGAAAAATGTGTTATTTGTACTATCAGAATTTCCATAGAGTACCCTATTCAAAACATAGAAGTATTGTGAACATAGAAAAATAAAAAGTCTTTCTGCTTTTTTGTTTGGTAGGACTTGATACTCAGCCTCACGAAGATCAATCTTAATAGTACCGCTAGTGTTCAGAGTGGATAACAGCCAAAAAAAAATATTAAATCTGATCATCCCTTTTTTTTCTCCTCTAATATGTAAGGAAGAAAATTTCTCTTGCAAGCTGGGAGAAGAAAAAATTACAGGTTTACACACGACATGTCCAAGTATTCGAACCCCGAGTACTGGGAAGAGAGGTATCGCAGCAGTGATACCACCTTCGACTGGTTCCTCACGTATGATAATCTGAAACCTATTATTCAGCCCCTCTTACAGCCCGCCGATCAAATTCGAGTGCTTGTTGTTGGTTGCGGAAATAGTCGTCTTTCTGGGTGCTTATACGAGAATATTGGTATAAAACACATTACGAATGTGGATGTTTCGCCGACTGTCATTGCCCAAATGCAGCGGAGGTACGCTGAGCTGGAGGAGATGCAGTGGATGTGTTTAGATCTGCTTACCACACCAATAGATAAGCTACTTCAAGATTTGTGTCCAAATAAGGAATTGTTTGATTTCATTATCGATAAAGGATTAGTCGACAGTATTCTTGGTGGGGCTAACTCCTTTCATAACGTCCACATCTTCAACAAAAATATGTCCAAGTTGCTAAAGAAGGGCGGCTCATACATAGTAGTCTCTTACGGATCTCCAGAGACCCGCATCGATCACTTTCGTCGCAAAAAATTGTTCTTTGAGGTAGAGCACAAATCAATTGAAAAACCTATGTTTCATTCCTCAGATACGAGTCCTACTGGGCACTACCACGTCTACATTATGGTGAAGAAGGAAGAAAAGTTGCAACAACGGTCTTTAGATGGCGGGCTTCAGGATGATGATACTGACGAAGATGATTTTTATGATCGCTTTATGGTACGGAAGTAGACTGAAAAGCTAAACTCAGTATTAGAAAAAAATGTAAAGTGAAAAACCATTAGCTAACTTGAAGGTTTCCCCTTTCCTCATCATATCGATAAATTGACTCCTTGAGCATGTATATGGCGTGTGGAATGCGTAAAAAAAAGGAGCTGTTCAAGGAATAAAATGAGAGCAAGGATTTGCTTGCCGTAGTTTCATCGTGTTGCTGTTTCTTCATTCTTACACTATCATGTCCTTCTGATTTTTCTTTTCTGATATTTCAATTTAGAAGCTACTAAGCTTAGATATTAAGTAGTATCTCAGGAGGTTTTCACCTCAAGTTTTCATAAAGTTAATTTTTTTTGCTTACTTAGGTAACTTTTTTCAAATTATCTTTCTGTTGATTTTTCACTTTCTTGTTGGCGAAACCGTTTTTTTACAACTTTTTAGTGCCCGTTCCAAAAGAATATATATATACGTATATACATATACATATATATATATATATATATCAGGAGTTGCCAGGCTTTGCTATCTTCTGGTTCAAGCTGCGCGATAAAATCTTTTAAGTTGGCAAATCAATTCAATAGTATTTTCACTTTTAGACCACACTTTTGAACCAAGAGGCGAGATTTTCCTTAGTATTTACACCCTTTCACGTGCTAAACTTTTCCTTTTGATTCTTAAATCAAAGCGGAGATACAACACAAAAACACTGAGGAAAAGTAATAAAGGAATTCTCCTTCCATTCTATTCATCCCATCTAAAATTAAACTTACACAAGCACGCGTATTCGAAATATTTGCGTTAGCACACCATTCACATTGAGAATCAATCACCTCTTTTCGCTGAATAAAGTTAAATAGAAAATCTACCCCTCTCAGTATTTTTGTCGTTAGATACACCTCACTCTTTGTACACCATATTTAATTGTTTGTACCCTTTTGTGCATAAATCATTTCGAAAAAAAAGAGAAAGAAAAATACCAAATATAATCTTTTTCTTGAAAAAAATAGTGGTATCTCATAATAAATATAGTAAATTATATGAAAATAAAAAATTGAAATTTAACAAGCTTATTAAAATCAAGAGGAGATACACAACGTTTATTGGAACTTATATCATAAACACATTCGACTTAGTTTTGGCTCTAGGATCTGCTTTGCCACATACACACATTCCTACAGTTTGATATATATATATATTTATATTTATATATATGAATATATATATATTCAAATATAAGGTAGTCATTTTTGTCGTTGAATAGGTTCAAAAAAATATTATTTTGTGTTTTCACATCTCGATATATTGTGCTTTTTTTTTTACCTTTGTATATCAGTTTTGATTCGAGATTGTGACCAATAAAACTCGAACGACCAGTGTATCTACAATGAGCCGCAAGTTGAATACGAGGAGTAATAATACTTCTCACGCAACGCGACATCATTCTGTGAATAGACATAAAAATCCTTCTTCATTTTCTCGGACACCGTCATCAGTTTGCTTTTCGAGATCTACCTCCTCAAACAGCTTGCCTGCAGAGTTTCAGTCCACTAATCCTATCTCCAAGACTCAGGTGACACACGTGGGGTCGAAGAGTGCCTTTGAGGAAACAAAGACACCCCCGTCGTTGCCAGCTTCTTATACAGTTTCATCCTCTGCAATGAATGTAAATAACGGCAATAAGCCCCGTGTGCGTCCCCTGAACCCAGCTGCAAAAGAGTTCAAGCTCCCTACGAACGGCACTCCATATCTGTACGGTAGTGTATTACCAGACCCAAAAGAAGTCTCTCTTTTTGCTATGCCATCACAGCGCCTGGTCTCCAACATGCCGACCCAAGCCTCTGCCATTGCAAGTGACTATACGACTTCGTGGAATGCTATCAGCACAGAGCGACAGCCAAGGCCACTGATACCGACCATTCAGGTTGAACACCCAATAAATTACACATTGAACAGGGATGATATGATTGTGGAGAAGCTTGTCAATCACTTCCACACAGTATATATGTACAAGTGCAAGGAGCAAAAACTCCACATGGTGGCTGTGCTAAACTTGGAACTTCATACGACCCATAAACAGCTGTTGGATATATTTTCTGCGATGAGTCCCTCCGAGGCGATTATTCTGAAAGTGGAAGACTTACCTTTTGGGATCGTCAATTCGAGCAAATTTATTGAACGACGTGGGGTTGGTGTTGTTTTCTTTTCCGAAAAGGACTTTGCGATGCTTGGAGTCGAGAAATTGAACAACTTCGTCCCCAGTGGTCAACATCAGCAGCTCACAGTTCGGTACTGTGGCCCGGATGCAGCATTACCCGCCCCTTCTGGAGCCACGGCCCTTGTGAGGAATAACATTAAGAGCCCCAACCCGGTACCACAAGTCCAGGCGCCGTGGATTTTGCCTCCCTCGGATTTGGAGAAAGTACATGAGGAGATGCGATCGACTTACGGTCACTTGGGTCAGCGTTCGCAATTCATAGTGGCCATCCACGGCCTCTGCAGTAGCACCGCAATCGAGGTGCTTGAGAAGAACGTCATGCGGGAGAACGGCCAGGCCTGTGAGCGGTGGCCCCCGAAAGATCCACAATTGCAGTCGCAACTGAAGTTTTCCATCCCGTGGCGATGCCGAAGTATCAGTGCGGTGGTGTGGTATTCTTCGGAATACACTGCGAAGGCGGCGGTGCGAGACCTTAATAACCGTATCCCAGAAGGTCAGCAACAGAAGGTGAGTCTGTGTTTACTCGGGGCGCCAAAGTGTCATCAACCGTATTCCCCTTCCACACAGGATAACCTCTTCCCTGCCGGTATGCTAGACCAGAGGGACAAGGGATCGCGAGTACTCAAGGCGCCCAATTCCAGCGTCAACCTTTCCGTGGGGGGCCAAGTGAGAAAGGGATCGAGAGTTGCTGGTGTCCCTTCAACTTCCCTATTGTCTACCCGCATGCCTGGAAACGACAATGCTGTCATTTTTGCCAAAATTGAAGCGTACTTTTTAAGTAAATTCAGCGATGAGTATGATTTCTTTGTTGCAGTTCATAAATTAGATATTCAAACAGATAAAAAAAACCTGCACGAAATTTTTTACCCAAGTGGTGCGGTGGAAGTGGAGTTGTATCCGGATATCGTCACCATTGATGGTAAGCCCCGCCGCAGTGGTGTTGCGCTTTTCTTAGCCAAAGAAACGGCACTAGAGGCGGCCAGTCGCTTTAATGATTTTGTTCCAAATGGCCAAACACGTCCACTCTTGGTACGGTATCTTGAACGTCGAAACACTAATTATCCACTCATTGCGAGCGAAAGTGATTTGAATGCGTCCTATATTGATAAGAAGGAAACTATCTCTGAGATGGCAACCGTCGCCTCAGAGACAGGAAGCGCTGAGCATGGGATGACTTCCTTGCGATGCGCCGACCCAGGAGGTGCGTTTCGGGGCAAGATGTATTTCCCATCGCAGCAGTCTCGGAATGGATCCCTGCCCTATTCAACACCCCGTGCTCCGTTGAACAGCCTTGAGGACTTGCTCTGCAGCATTCGGAGCCAATTGTCCACACTTAATCCGGATGCCGAACTTTTGGAGGAAGCCATGGTGAATCTTGCAAATCATCCAGACAGCACAGAGGTCACTGGTGCTAAACTCGCTAAGCTGCTTGTCAACACACTTATTAAGGCCAGACATGAATCTGTTATGCTGTTGCCAAAACTATCTGACGCCCTCTTGGGTTTACACGACCGGCTAGGAATTCCGAAGCGCGACATCATGGAACTAAACGGCACCTGTAGCGACAGCCTAAAAGAAGAGGCACGGGGTGACATGGATAAAAGGATCACCTTCGTAAAGCAGATTGCCAAGGAGTTGCTGCTTTTGGTGACGCAAGAGGAAGTCCCGCCGCAGACACGGCGTGCAGCGGGAACTTTATGTGCATATCTTTTCCAATATTCCTATTTGCGTGAAAGTCCGTTCAAATTTGCTGTGGAGTTCCTCACTAAGCGGCGAGCTGAGCAGAAACAGACTGTTGCGCCCATATCACGAGATCCCCTTATTATCTCTGACATTGAAAAATATAACCAAGGCCAGCCTTGGGTTCATTTTATTGTATCTTTGGACGATATGACACGATTTTGGCTGAAGGATAAATCTCGTATAAGGTCTGATGATTATGCGATGCGATATCAGAAACTAAGGGCTGAGCTATTGACGGAAAGCGAATTGCTATCATCGGGCGCAATGGCGAACTCAGTGATCCCTAATCACGAAAAAGGCACTAAAACAGAACCGTCTATGCTGAGTCCATGTGGAAACTTGAATTACTCCAGCAGCAAAGAGGCAACTTCGGGTGTGACGTTTAACCGTGATAGCATAGGAGGCACCAACACTACCACAGCGCAAGGCATCGGCTCTGCAAATCTCCCCTCTACGATGCTAACCCCAAGTGCGCGCCCCACACCCCTCCGCGTTACTAAGGGCTCTATGACAAGTGGCAGCGGTAACAAATACAAGCCGCCCCTTGAATGCGCCCACAGCTCCGCACAGACGTTACCCCCACGTGTTATGCTAACTCCTGGTAGTAATCAAACCCAAGGAATGTCCGCGAATATTTCCCTTGAGAGCAACGCTGATCAGAGCTTGGCACGTGTTTACGCTTATATGTCTGATCTGAATGCTCAGAGCCCCGCCGCAGCACATAATTTCCAGCCCTTTCCCGGAGCCTCTGGTGTGGCAAGCAAGTGCAACATTTCGCCGTCTTCGCGCTTCGCCGCGTCCGCCGAGGGGGGGGACCCCCAGGCGGTTTCGAACACCAACACTCGTTCCGGAGCGCCTATGTCTGAAACCAACTCCATAACGCTCCCTAACATGGATGCGGCAGTTGAGGTTACGCTACGACCTCCTCCTATGGTGATTAACCATCGTTCCGACATCAGCGAGTGCACCGTATACATTACCAAACTGCCCTCCTCCTTTACTGCTTCTCAGGTGCGTCGGCTGTTTTTGAATTTTGGCTCCTTCACGAAGGTCCGTCTCTGCCACGACGACAAGGAAGGTGCCACGCAGGCTGCGGCATCGTCGAATCAGTCGAATAGCTACGGGAAGTTATGCTTTGTGTTCGTTGAATTTGCCGAGAGTCCTAGTGCGAAGGCCATTGTGGAGTACTTCCGTAACGCCTCTCACATTCCGAATGCGTTTGACTTTATGCGGCAACCGTCCCACCCTAACCCAACCGGTGCCGCCCCTTCTTGCTCTTCCACGAGCGTGGATACTCTAACAGTGGAGCAGAAGGCGCTCTTCGAAAGGGATATTAGGCTGCTAGCCGGAACACGCGCCAGCCCAGCTCGTAAACCTATTCACGATCAGCAATACCTGGATGCGGTGTTGCGTATGCCCAACCTTTACGAGATGACGAACCATAATATCTCGCCAAATGCATCCGTCGTTGAGCGAGAGTGCCTTTTTGGAGTCTTGATGCCCGACTTGGCGATTGAGAACTACAATAGCAACTCCCATCCCGAACTTCGGCCTCCTCTGTCATCCGTCCTCAGCAACAATATCAACAACAGTAATCCTATGGCTAATAGCACGCCCCCAATCGCTCCAGTGGATGGTAAAGGGCAGGCATTCGTGTCAAGCGTACCTCCCCAGCCGACACTTTGCGCGTCTATGCCCGTGGCAAGCTCCACCCCAATTTGCAACACGTTTATTGACGATGATTCTGGTTACGATCAGAGGGAGCTGGATATTCATATTCAGGGGTATATGGGCAATTGGACGGCATGTCCATCGATTTCCCACGAAGGATCTTTGGGCTGTGGAACTAAAGTACCCCTTGTGGGTGTGATTGGCGATAGCGTTGATGGAATTGACACCAGGGTTGGACTAGATTTTACACTGGAACCTTCCCTAACGGGGTATAATGATAGTAGAAGCGAGGACAATGATATCAATCGTTCACCAGGGCAACCTCACATTTGGACGAACTTCTCTTTTGAACGTGAGCATGAGAGAGGGGAATAACGTGCCATTATTAGTGAAGAAGTAGAACCTGATAAAGGTATTTAGAAAAAACAATGACAATACAAATAAAAGATTATATGGGCTCAATATCCAATCTATTGGACGACTAAATGACTACCTTGTAGCAATATAGTCTTCACGATTTAGTGGTATCAAGATCAGATCGATATCAACATATATATATATATATATATATTTATATTTATATATATATATATACATAGATATATGTATATTTATTTATACATATATATATATTTTCATTTAAAGATTTGTACTAAATTTATAGCACTAATAAAAAAAGTATACATAATGGAGCCTTTCTTCTTCATGCTTTTAGTGATATTATGTACTTCGCGATATATTTTGCTCCAGGATATATCCTCATACCCTTAAACATTTTTTTGTTGAAATTTGGATATCTTTCTGATAAATGTTTTTTACTATTATAAAAGTATCATGCACTTTTATCTTTCTTTTGGGTAGAATTGACTTTTTTATGCGTTGAATCAGGAAAAAGGTCAAAAAGGACGCTAGAGGTCAGGAAAAAATTGGTTCAAGGCCGTCACTTGTTGTCCCATAAGAACTTTTCGTCACGATTGATTCCCGCTCGTCATCTTATTCGAGAAAGATTATTATGTATGTAGAACCTCTATAGGGTAATATGGATAAATAATATTATGAGGACTAAACTTTTTATTTGTACCTTTCTTCCTTTATTGAACGATGAAATGATCAACGATCGATCCTTGATTGAATATGTCCATCGGTAAATTGTTTGTACGCACATATGGCAGACGGAGTTCTTTATGTTGATTTCTCTCCCTAATTATCCATTACCGTCAGAAAAAGGTCTACCTACACTCATTATCTTGACTATAAGGCTATGTACAGCTAGCTGATTTTATTTTCTTAAGGGATGGTCTTGATCCTTCTAGCCTTTTCCTTTATCATAGAACCGATTGCTTCGGATACGGGAAGTCCCGGAAGGAAAAAGTACAATGCTGTGTTGCGGTCTCTCAGCTAATTGCTTTAATTCTATTCCCGTTTCGGCAGACCTTTACTTCCTTTACAAACAAGTCAGAACTCAGGACCCAAATTTTTCGTTTGCGGGAAATCATGAGCGAAACATTGTTTGGTAAATAACTATGCATAAGAAATTATGAATCAGTGGGATCTTATAATCAAGACGCCCCCAGACATGGTGGTGGGGTCTGGTGCGGATCACGGCGTTGCAGCTGAACTCAAATCCTCTTGTGTAAGCAGTGCAGGTCAAACGGATAAGCAAATTCTGGACTACAGCCTTCAGAAAGAGGACGAAGCGTTGGGAAATGGCGCCACTTGACCTGAAAACGAAAGACGTAAGCAATCATTCAGTAATATAATACCTTTTTAGGTACTCCATACAAGGAATAGAACGACATTCACGTAAGCTTTTTCTACTAATATTCTTTGAAAGTTCTATTGTCTGCTATCTTTATATATATGGAATCTTCGTAATATGGTTTAGTGTCCTCTTAGGGTCCTGAGAGACGCTTAGATGAGGACCAAGGGAAAACATTCAGAAAATAATAGAAAAGCAGCAAAGCGAGTCTTCCAGCGGAGAACCCGTTTTCCCGTATGTGAAGACTTGTAAACCCGGAAGTCTAACTTGTCGTCTTGTTCTGGAACTTCGACTTTTAATCAGATCCAACGATATTTCCTCGCCTCCCTCCCTATCCCATCATTTGTTCTCTTACGTGGTAGTTTCTTGCCTTACATCGGAACCAAACCTTCCTTGCAGGGTGTCAACAATTTCTCCCACCCACCCTTCCCCTCGGCAACGCGAGTCCCAACCATCAGACAACCAAGCAGAAAAAAACAATTGAGGTGGTGATCCTCCCCCCTTCCCCCTTCCCCTTTCCTCCTCTTCCAAAATGGCGCGCAACCTCCTCACTTACAACCTTCATGAAGGCCATTTGGAGGCGATCGTGCACGGCTACCGCGGCGGTCTCCTCCGTGGGGATGTCTACCACAGCCTTTGTCAATGCGATACCCTCGGCGACCTCAAAAGTCAGCTTCAGATCACCGACTACGCCGATTTCCTCCACCAAGACGGCACGCTGAGCTCCCGGCTGATCGCGGATCGCGCGCAGGAGGTGCTGCTGCGGCAGTTCCGCGAGCTCCAAGAGTGGTCTCAGCCCCCACTCTCCGAGTTTCTCGACTTTATCACCTATGAGTATAAGATTTTGAACATCCTGAAGCTGATCACTGCGAAGCGGAGCGGGCGGGCGAGTTTGGAGTTTCTCACCAAATGCCACCCGCTCGGGACGTTCGCGGAGATGCCGACCCTCATCGCCGCCACCGACGTGCGGGAAATGTTCGAGGCAGTCCTCGTGGGGAGCCCGGTGAGTCGTTTCTTCAGCAGCGAAGGGAGCTTTGAGCAGGATCTCGATGAGCTTCCCGTGGAGTTTATCCAAGGGACGTTGTTGAAAAGTTATTATGAACAGTTTTATGACTTTTGTGTTCGATTAGGGGGAACGACGAGGGAGGTGATGTGCCCACTCCTGGATTTTGAGGCGGATCGTATGGTTCTAACCTTTATCATTAATACCTTGGGGATGCGAGAAATCACACCATCGGATCGACGGAAAGTGTTCCCGAATCTCGGTACGCTGGTGGATATTCACTATGATCTTTCCGAGTCTGAAAATGTTGAGCAGTTGCGTGAGCGTCTGCGTCGCTTCCCAGACTATTATCAGCTTCTCGATGACAATCGATCCATCGAGGCGTCTGGTAAGAAGTCTCTAGAGCGTAGTTTTGTGGAGTATTCGGTTGTGTTATACAACGATGCCATGACACGTCAATTTCAGTATGGGATTTTCTATGCTTACGTAAAGCTAAAGGAGTTGGAGATCAACAACCTGAGATGGATTTCGGACTGCGTCGTTCAGCAAATGCGGAACCGCTTACATGAATATGTTATTACCACACTATAACGCTGCCAAATCATGAGTGTGGGCAAACGCTGCGAAGGGGAGAGAGAGAAGATAAAGAAGATGGAATTTGGAGAACGCTAAAATCATTCCAAAAGTATTTGCATCATTGGTAGTAGTTTTGTAACGGGGGGCATTCATCAAAATAGGTGATCGAGTTTGATTGGTAAACCTAGAATTTGTGTTGGCATATTTTATTTCCCTGACCCTTTGTCGTCATTCCCATATAGTCTAGACTTGTGATCGAGGGAAATCCTACCGCCGAGAGCGCTTCTTCTCCTTCTTCTATTTTTTGCCCCTTCCTTTTTGCTTTCTCATTCCTTTTCTATTTTTATTTTCCCCATCTAAGAATGCCATGAAAGGAAGGCTTGCGACGCGCTCATTTTCCTGCAGCTATGAAATCGATCTTGTCAAACTTGTCAAGCCGTCTAAAAATTAAAAGAAAGCCTGCCGTTGCTCCGTGCGATTGTAGGGATTATTTCGAAGTGGTTGAATCACCCCCAAAGGTTGAGGAGCTGAGGTCTTTTGTTCAATCTTCTCGATTCAAAGGGTATGTGGACAAAAACGCTGTAGCTGAAGTGCAGCGCACGCATGGCGTTCACAGCTTGGCGTTTGATCTCCAATACCGCTGTGGTGGCGAAGGGCGGTGCATCTGCGCGGATGCTCCATCCTGCCGATTTCCGATATGTTTCACGATGCGCCCCATTACGAAAGGCGCGGAGATCCAATCCGAGAGGTACGCTTTTGAATCGAAGGAAACGACGAATCCAGCGATACGTGCCTTGGTGGAAATCGCACGACAGGAGCAACTCGAAAAAGCGGCGGAGGGGATTAAGCGTTTCGTTGATACTCAGATAAAGCAAGCCGCTGGTGGAAGGACGTTGAGCACCGCACTGAGTATCGAAAGCGATTTATCCGAAGGCTTCATCCCTGGCGCTTCCAGAACAGGCTCGGGGAGTTCTCATTCGGGGGTGAACCCGCTTAGTGAAAGCGAAGAACTCCGAGAGGAGGTTGTTTCTTTATATCTGTGGAGGGCCGCTCTGCTGGTGAACCTGCGCTGTGATGATGCCGCCGTTAGCTCCCTACTGAACATGGCGTGTGGGTTGGATCAAAAGCACCGAACGCGTTTGTACGAAACGGCGGCAAAGTGGGCGGTTCTCAATGATATGGAGATTATTTACTATCGCGCGCTCCTGGGTCAGTATAAACCTTTTCCGCAAGCTGAATTCTTTGCCCGGGAACGTCCCCTTTTGCTTCACCGGGTATTTGAGTGTTTATTGAATGACGATTACCACACCCAGCAATGCGCGAATGTGGTGCTCTTAAAAGAAGTTATCGCCGCCGTTTCTCGTGCGCAGGCCACGCAAGTCCACGGAGATCCGACGGAGGATCCGATGAAAACCCTCTGCCTCCCATTCGCGATGGCGTACTACCGTTTTCGAGTGGGTGAGGCGTTTTGGAAGCACTTTTTCAATTTACTTTGCATGCCTCCCCTTCCCGCACCGGAACCGGAACCGGGGCCTGGGGAATCGGGAACGCATTCCACCCATCCAATGCTGGAGATTGGACGTACCCCAGGCTACATCCTGGATGCCGTTGGGCGGAGCATGTTGCTGCATCATTTAATCGTGTTCGCGGATACGCGGGAGCGGGAGATTGATACGGGCGCCGTCGCCACGCGCGTGAAACGGCTGAAAGCCCGCGGCGAGGAGGTGCACCCTTCTAGCTACGATCACGTGCTGAACAACAAAGAGATGCGGGTTGCCGTCGCGCGGATGCGGGAGCTGCTCGTTGTGGCGAATTTGCTACGCGGGGATTCGAAGGAGCGGATCGGCGATGGCGACGTGGCGGGAAAGTCGGAATCGTTGGACGTCAACGAAGCGGAACGCACGCGGCTCGCGTCGTCTGCTGTTGGCGTCGACTCGCCGGGAGCTACGGGTGGATCGCTGAAGTAGAACGCTGATGACGCGCTCAATTTTATCGACGCCGTTTTATTGGCTTGTTGTTTCTTTGCAAACAAGACGCACCAAGGTATATAAAACTAACCAAAGGGGCGATTATATGTGTGTTTTGCAATGGAGTTGATTTAATAGCCTCCTCATGGGTATATATATATATATATTTATATATGTATACTGTTTTACTATGCTCAACATTCCTTTCCCCCTTTTTCAATGAAAAATTCGTGATCAGATTACTTTCTTTAAAATTACCAATCCCCTTTTTCTACCTTTTTCCCTTTTTAAAAATCACTATGCAGTTATTTGAAAGCATTATGTTTGGCAAAATAACTGAGGCGCAAAAGGCGGCGATGAAGAAGGGCTTCGCCGCGGCGATATCAGCTGCTGACACGGAAAAGTCTGAGCTCGATGGAAAGGCTCATCTATCGGATAATGAGAGCGTCGAAAGTAAAACGGATCTTCCATCGTCTCATGATAAGAGCCTAGGGGAGGCGTCTGAGGTACTTCGTATCAACGTTCATAGCGAGAGCGTTGAAATTAGCAATATCCGTTTGTTCGCGCTTGATGAGATAGACTTCACTTTACTCACCCGCTGCACGTCTCTTTCTTTACGGAAAAATCTTATTCATGTTCTCTCGCCGCTTCCAATAAAATTAGCGAATCGCCTAAACGAACTTGACTTTTTTGACAACAAAATTAAGAAAGTGGGTGATTTTTTTGAAAGTGCCCTTGTAGAGACCACTGTAGACGACAAAGTGCAGTGGATTAAGGAGCCTCAATGCAAACCTTTCTCCTCCTTGACTAAACTCGACCTGAGTTACAATCAAATACGCGTGATATCCGGTCTGGACTCGTTGGGGGATACTCTCAAGGAATTGTATCTGGTAGAAAATAAAATTAAGGTAATTCAGGGGCTGGGCGCACTCCGCAACTTAGAGTTGTTGGAGCTCGGTGGAAATCACATCCGCGAAATCGGCAGTGGCTTAGAGAATCTCGTAAACCTCAGGCAGCTATGGCTTGGGAAGAATAAGATAGTCAGTATTGGTAATAGTCTTCGCACACTGCGTTCGCTGGAGCTTCTAAGTTTGCAGGCAAATCGGATTCTCTTGGTTGAGCCGGAGTGTTTTACGAATGAATACCACCCCTCTCTGAGGGAACTGTATCTGTCTGAGAATGGGATTCGCAAGATTGAAAACATCTGCCTAGCTAATCTTCGAACGCTTGACTTTAGCTTTAACCCTATTGAACGCATCAACGAAGAGGTGATATGTTGCGCAAACATGCCGATTTTGGAGGAATTTTGGCTTACCGATGGAAAGATTAGCGAATGGGGTGAGGTTCAGAAACTCGCACCTTTCAAGGAAACGCTGCGAACGGTGTATCTTGAACGAAATCCCATAGAGCAAGATAGGAGGTATCGAAATAAGGTGTATTTATGCTTGCCGTTTCTGGAGCAAATTGATTCCTGGCCTGTGGTGAACATTGCTGATTTGGAGATGGATCGAAAGATTGAGCGAGATAAGTGAAAAGATTAACAAATTTAAATGGTTTGTTGCAGTTTTTATTTGAATTGCACAATTACGAATAAGCACGTCAAAATATATGTATATATATATATAAACATAGTTTTTTTTTGAATCATATGGAGTTGTCTTTATTTCGGTGGAGCAGTTTATCTTTATTTTTCCCAAATTCCTATACCACGGCAGTCACTTCATCCATCTACTTAAAAAAGTAAATAATTCAAGTGTCGTAGCTCCCGCAAACTTCAGGAAACATTTCCAAATGCAGCAACTTCATCCAGAAATACGAAGCATGAACGATCAACTCAAGCCCATCTTGAAGGAGGCTCAGGAAATTGGTGATAAAAAGGGCAAATTGATTGAATCCCGTCGTCAGCTCGGCAGCCAAAAGAATGAAAACGAACTAGTCAGGGAAGAAATCAAAAAATTAGAGCCGGATGCTATGGTGTACAAGCTTATCGGACCGGCTCTCGTTCCACAGGATCAAGGTGATGCGAAGACGATTGTTGAGAATCGATTGGAATATATTAACGGTGAAATAAAAAGGACGGATAACAGCATTTTGGAGTTAGACAAAAAAGAAGCTCAGCTCCAGAAAAAAGCCCAGGAAATATATCATAAAATGCAGGAGAAACAGGCACAGATTATGCAGCGCCAACAACAACAACAACAACAGAGCTAGAAGAGAAAAATGCTAAAATGCTGCGCTTGTGCTGCCTGTTTCTCTACTCCTCCTTCGCGTTCGAGGAATGATAATAGGGTACGTTCGAAACGCAGAAAGACACACGCAATGAAACAAATACATACATATATATATATATATATGTATGTATCGATCTAATAAACTGGTTCGGAAATTTCTCATAGCACTAAGCCTAACATTACACTATTTAACCAGCAAGCTTGTGCACTTATTCTTAATAAGTCGAATTGAGGGTTTTTGTTTTATACCGACGTCGTTTTCCACTATTTGATTCCTTCGTAATGAACCAATCTATTCATGATTCCTTTTCATAGCGTCTAGTTTGGTTTTCACTAGTTGATAGATATCCGAAACCGCATACGACGATACAAGAGTTTATTATTATTCGTATTCTTCTTATTATTATCAGTATTGACTTTTTAAAAAGTTCACGCGCCAATCCCTTCCATGGATGAGAAGTATCATTGGGCGCAATCGCATCGAGCGCTCTGGGCGCCGAGCACGAGCGCCGCGGAGACGTCGCTGATGTCCGCCGTTACGGATCCCTTCGCCGACGAGGGGGAGGGGGAGTCCGTTCGAAGTGAAAACCTCCCCGAGGCGGCGGTATCCTCGGAATCCCACCTTTTCATCGATCTTCTCGGCGAGTGCGCGGCGATTCGGAGTCGGCGGGAAAAAGCCGGGCTCCGCCCGGCGACCCGTCAAAAGCTTTTGGATTGGCTGAAAGAACCCTCGGCGGTGAAGCGGCCGGCCTATGTGAGGTACCTCGTCAAGGCCCTCCTCTTGCAGGATGAAGCCGCCTCCGCCGCGTTTAACGAGCCTCGAGAAAAGGAGGAGAAGGGGGAAAGGGGGGGAGCTGACGGCCTCGCGCGTCGGGTGCGGCCCCTCGTGGCGGAAATCGCCCGCCGTCTGGGCGGCGACGACGACGGGAGGGAAGAACCCCCTGGGGAGGGGAATTTCGACCCCGCCCGCCTCGAAGACGACCTTCGCCGCGTGTTAACCGCCCT